CACCTAGAATTTTAGCAATGCGCCTAAAAATTTACACCTGGTAGCACAAGTGCTCCCAAAGCCAAAATTAAACTTTGAGCCCTGTGAAGTTGTTTTTTTTTTCCAAGAAAGTGCTACCATTTACAAAACGAAGCCAACGAACTAATGAGAGACAATGTGTCGGTAAATCTGTGAACTTTTTTGACTCCCTTCCTTCAAATTTGATGGAGTCTCTTTTTCAAGAAAGTACCCCCACTCACACTACAACACCACGCCACCCACCTAATGCAAGACAAGGTATGGAGAAGAAGCAACCAAGAGCAAATCCAAGAGCTTCAGTAGCCAACAAGTGCAAAAGAAGGCAGAGTGGGCAAGGTTGTGCTCATTGTCCTCACCTTCTTGCAGAAATCAGAGAGCTCAGGGAGGTAAATAACCTTCTAAATGAGCAACCTAATCAGTGCAGAGAGGACACAGCAAAAACACTTTGGCAGAGTGGTGTTCCCAAACTGCTTATGTGCCTAGTGCACTTGCTGAGAGATTAGCTGTATGAGAAACATCTTTTCAATTTAAATTTTCTATATCATCAAAACTACAAATCTCTACAGACTGAATGAAATTTAATTTGAACATTCCTTGAAAATTATAGAGTACTCTTCTTTCAACTAACCTTTGAACACTGGTAAAGTTACGGAAAAGATTACTATGTAACTGAATGAACAATGTGACTGACAACTGGTTGAAAAAAATTTAAAAAAGAAAAGATTATTGTACATGATTTTCAGGCCAACTACAATTACAAAATAATACAATTCTGGAGGAAATTGGATAAATAGGTAATCAGGAAATATCCATAACAAGGCAAGAAGTTGGACTGTAGACAATTTCTATTTAATTTTGGCATTATTTGCTGCAATTGTCATTTTACTACCCTTGTGGTTAACAATTTTACTGTATGAATGTTGTAATATCCTCTAACCAGTGCATTAACAAAAGCAACATTGAACAGTAATCAACTTTATTTCTTTATATAAGTATTTAAATTAATTTTGATGAAATTGTTTTTTGAAGAACATTCAAACAGTTACCTAACAGTTAACATGTAATTCTCAATAAAAACTCTAGCATATTGTTCAAGTTTTAAACTTTCAGCAGCTCATCACTCAGTCCAGCAGAGCAGAAAACAAAGTAAACAAAGACACTTTCCACCTCTTGGAATGAAATTAATTTTTTTTTACTTTATTCACAAGAAAATGGTAGAATACAGTTGAAAGAGAGACTTTCAGATTGTAGAAGAATCCTAGTGTTAAAAAGGCCACAACCATTCACCACAATTCACACATTTTGGCTGATTTGCACAAGTATTTAAGGTGACCACTCACACCAACACAGTATAGTGATGTATCCCTCAAGGAGAACTGTGGTATGAGAATTGTTTTGCATAATTTTACATTGGTAAGAGTATGCTTGTTGTGCTGCTGATTTATAATTAGTATAATTTCAGTTCATGTGAGGTTATTAAGTATTTTGTTTTCTTTATTTGTTTTATTAATATTTTGTGGAGAACAATGGATAAAGCATGAATCAGAGTGTGTCCATAATGAGCCAAAAAGCTGGACTGTCGACAATCTGTATTCAATTTTGTCATTAGAGTCCTAAAGTGTGACGTCATGTTACCATGGCGCTAAAAATTGGGTTCTAAACAACTGGGATTATCTCTTGCGCGTGGGTCACATAGTCTTTGTTATCACTTTGTCCTGAGGTCAAAACCCTTCTTAACCCTGTGTTTTGCAACAGAAAACACCACAAGGAAGAATAGAGGGTAAAAAGGTCAATGAAAATTTCAAATTTATCACTTTTGTGATCAGAAGTAATTCTAAATGGACGGAAATGGTATACTGCTTTGCCCCATCGTGCAACCATTCATCAGAGAGCCATACTTGCAAGTACTTCAAATTTCCAAGTGCAGAAAAGGAAAAAAACCAATACAAACAATGGATCCGTCTGATAAGGTTAGTAACTGTATTCATCGTTCCCTTGAAAGCAATATAACAAACGGCAGTTTTGAGTGAATGTGCTCTTTTTACTGACTCAAGTAAATGTAGAAGCGATGAATGTCTTTACAATCGCATGCAGTTTTTTTTCATAATAATTATTTTAGTTTACTGACTGTTTCACTTTACTGACAGAGAGTTTCTGAGACCTACAACATAATATTCAGGCATGGAATCTAACTCTCTTGTTTCCTTGCTGCTTTGACCTGTTTCTGTTTTGCCGATTTTCAAGGAAAAAATTATTTCTCTCACTTTCAAAGGGCTTGAATCTATGAGCCTTCAAAGCTTGAACTATCAGTATCAACTTTATTTAGTTTTAGTCAGTTACACTCAAGCCTTCACACAAACAGCTCTGAAGAAAGCCCTTCAAACCCTTACCTCTAGTGCTTTTTGTTTTCTCCTTTTTTGGAATAAATTTGTTTGCATCGAAAATTGCATTTGGTCTGTTGATTTTATTATCTAGACAGTAAAACTGAACCTAAACTGTTCACATAATAATAATGTATCAGGTATCTATCAAATGAATGCAACAAATTAAATAAATTTTGATACTTGCAGATGATTGCACTGATCCCTGAAAAGAGTGTGGACACAGATATCCTTGAGAGCATACTGAGTAAGGATATAGTTACACACGTCANGTTTCGTGACATAAGAAGTTGCGCTGGGCTATACCCCTGTTCCAAAGGTGTTGAACGGTATGCCAATAGAGCTAAGTGGGGATCAGTAAACTTGTCGAACAATCTCTTCACAGTCTGAACTACACGTTCCGCTTCTCCATTGGCCTGTGCGTAAAGTGGGCTACTCGTGACATGGGTAAATCCATAGTCCTTTGCAAAGTTCACAAAGTCGTTTGACGTGTAGTTAGGACCGTTGTCAGAGATAAATCCTTCAGGAATCCCGAAACGACTGAATACAGTTTTCAGGCTCGCGAAAATGCTTTGTGATGTTGCACTTGCTAACGGAGACACTTCAATGTAGCGAGAGTAAGAGTCTACCAATAGTAAGTAGGTCTTGCCTTTCCAGAAGAGTTGGTCAGAGGCTACTTTTTGCCAAGGGTAGTATAGAAGTTCCGATGCAATCATAGGTTCGACATGGTTTCGTCTGTACTTTCTGCAAACGGAACACTCGTTTACAAGATAGACCTATCCCAGGCCACCAGACACTCTCTCTTGCTCGCACGCGGCATTTCACTATACCTTGAAGCTGAAATGTCTAGTCGACTTCCTTTGAGTAGCAATCCATTTTGGAGCGTAATTTCTGCTGCGAAGGGAGCATACAGCATTACTGGGCCTTTTAAGGAACACCTGTGTAGCCAGCCTTTATTACAATAATCCATGATCTGTTTGCACACTTCTTCTTCTTGCAGATGTGCTTTCATTTCTTTTAGACGTTTTCCAGTTGCAGGCAGAGTCTGGAAGACATAGTTAACGTAAAGGTTTCCCTCTTCTTCTAAAGTGCAATCCTTTGTCCTTGGCTCAGACTTTGGGGCTCTCGAAAGGGCGTCAGCAGAGTTTAGATTCTTTCCGGGTACATGGACAATGCTGAAGCTATATTTCATCAACCGCATTCGGAAGCGTTGAATGCGAAGAGGTAAGCAATCCAAATCTTTCTTTGAGTTTAAAAGATATATTAAAGGCTTGTGATCTGTCTGCACTTCAAAGGTTTTCCCGAGAAAGTAGCTGTTGAAGCGTTCACATGCCCATGTGGTGACGAGTTTTTCATTCTCAATTTGGGCGTACCTTTGTTCACATGCAGTTAACGATCTTGACTGGTAAGCTTCAGGTTTCCAGTTCAGGTCTTTCTGCTTCTATTTCAGAACTGCACTTAATCCATATGAAGATGCGTCAGCTGAGACACTTGTTTCTGCTTCACGCTCATAGTGAGCCAACACCACATCTTCGCTTGAGAGGAGATTCTTAAAGGCATTGATTTATTCTTTCTGTGGGCTTTCCCCAACCCTGGAATTCTTTGGACTGAGCAGGTCTCTCAGAGGTTTTGATACTTCGGCAATTTTGTCAGACAACTTTCCCAGTGGATTCATGATTCCCAGGAAGCGTCTAAGCTCTGTCACATTAGTAGGGTCTTCCATGTCGCGGAGTGCCTTTATTTTCTCGGGATCAAGACGGATTCCAGACGGGTCTACCACATGGCCAAGGAATGTCAAGCTTGCCTTTGAGTATTCGCATTTTCCGCCGTTTAGGGTGATTCCTGCTTCTTCAAGCTTGCGTAACACTTTCTCGAGGCGCTCATCGTGCTCTGTCTGGTCTTTCCCATAGACCAGTATGTCATCAATCATATTGACTGTTAACGTTCCTTCCACTCCAGCAAATACAGACTGCATTCTCTTTTGAAAGTACTCTGGTGCTAATGTTATTCCGAACGATAGCCTGTTATAGCAGAACCGCCCGAACGGTGTTATGAAGGCTGTCAGTAGAGCCGATTCTGGCGTAAGCTCAACTTGATAGAAGCCAGAGTTCGGATCTAACTTTGAAAAGACTTTCGTTTCGCTTAACTGAGCGAGAACATCGTCAACAGACGGGAGTATTAGTCGTTCGCCTTTCAATAGGTCGTTGAGTTTGGTTAGGTTTACGCAGACTCTAACATCTCCGTTGCTTTTTGGGACAGCTACAATAGGAGCACACCAGTCTGTAGGTTGGTCTACCTTTGACATCACTCCTTGTCTCTCTAGTTCCACCAGCTTGTTTTTAACTTTAGGCATAAGTGACAGTGCAATTCGTCGAGGTGTGTTCACTGCATAAGCAACATCATTGTCCTTTAGTTGAATGTGGTATTTGCCCTCAAG